GCAAATGGTCCTTTGGTGCTTCTCAACCTCTGATGGACTTGGTTCTGCTGTTTTTGTGTCTTGAGACTCTAACCAGAGTTGGAGGGCCTACGTGGAGTTCAGCCTGCTTCACCTGTTCAATGGTCCTTCATCTCTGTCTACTACCTAGATACCTGTACATGGATTTGTGGTGCTGTGATGCTGTGTGCGTGATGCTGTGTGCTTTAAGTATATATGTGATGCTGTACATTATTATATTGTGATTAGGGCCTGATGCTTCTTGTCTACTCTTGCTGGAAGCTGTTGGAAAATGAACTCGGCCTGGTTTTGCATGTGGAATGGAATGGTCCTTGCCTAGTCAGTGCAACTTGTGTTGCCGGTGTACACCTGTTTCAAATTGTGTTTGATGTAATGGAGATGTTTGTCTCGTGTTAAGACAACCTCCTAATCTTGGTCTTGGCTGGATTACACTTGTATTTGTTAGTGTTTTGTATTTGTATTTGTTACACTTGAGTTGTAATTTCTTTTATATACCTGTAACTTAAGCAAGTAACCACCTTGTGGTTAAGCTGTTGACATTTTGTATTCGTTTGATTTGGGTAATAATAATTTACATGTTACCCGTTGAAAGAGCTCTCAATAATAATGTTCGGTCGAGACTTTCTCTCTCTGGAGAACGAGCTACTGTAGCTCGTCACCATTGCCGTTCATTATCGCTGTTCTTCCGGTGGTTTCGTCCTCTTTCAAGGTCAGATTCGTGCTCCCCTCATCAAGGCGCTTCTCCTCATTGGTGGTTTCTTCCGTTTCCGTTGGGTTTTGGAAGAGTACGCTGCTAGGGTTTCTTCTTCCTTGTTCAGATTCTTCCAAGGTAAGTATGGCTTCCTTCTCTTGATGTTCATACTTAGCTATGGGGAAGAAGACTAGAAGCAAGGAACCTACGCCTCCAACTCCTCCGAAGAAGAAGCTTCCGGAGTTGAAGGTGGATGATGAGGCCACTTTGAATACGGATGAGAGCTCGGATACTATGTCTAGCGATGATAACCAGTCTGTGAATGAAATTATTGAAGATGAGAATGTTGATGTTGAAGATGGGAATGGCACTTCCTCAGGTTCTGATACGGCCTCCGTGGATGAAGAGGCAGTTGAGAAAGAATTAGGAAAAAATAAGAACACCCCCAAGGTGTTTGAGAAAAAGCCTGAGCCAGTCCAGAAGAAAACCTTTGTTGAACTTCTGAAAAACAATAGGAAATCCACCCAAGGGATGCAATTATTCAAGGTTGAGCTTAACAGCACAAGAGAGGTGTTTATCCCTGATGAAGCAATCCTTCCAATTGAACAGTTGTGGGGCTACTGCCTTGTGGGATGTTTCTCTGGAAAATTCCCAGGTCTTAAGGCCATCCAAAAAATGGTGGATCAATGGAGTATTCCCTGTGAGATTTTGCCACATAGAAAAGGATGGATTGTCCTCAAATTCTGGAGGGAAGAGCATAGACAAACAGTTCTTACTATGAAAGCTGAAGAACTCTCCATTGGTAACAAGAAATTGCTACTGAAAATTCCTGAGAAAGATTTCATGTGGAACTGCAAGTCCTTTGCAACAATGCCTGTCTGGGTTAAACTCTTAGATGTCCCTATGGGTTTTTGGTCTCCACTGGGGCTCTCACATATTGCCTCTTTTCTTGGGACACCTCTATACTCTGATGGAGTTACCCACACTGCTGCATCTGTGTATGACACCTCAATGGAACCTAATCCTGATGGGGACTACAGGAGGGTTAACTTCTGCAGGGTTATGATAGACATGGATCTTACGGTTAAGCCTCCTGTGAGTGTCAAGGTTACTTACAATGGTGGGGAATACATTCAAAAAATTGAGTATGAGGATATGCCCTGCTACTGCTACCATTGTGAGGCTTTTGGACACAGCCCTTTTGATTGTAAAGCCCTACATGAACTCCATAAAAGGAAATTCATGGAGAAACAGAGATTGGAGGAGATTGCAACCCTTGAAGCTTTGAAACTGGCCAAGCAAGCTGAAACCAGATCTAAAGATAACAAAAAAACCCCTCACACAAGCAAAACTCCCCTTTCTAAGGAAGCTTTCAAGGAGCCTGCCCCTTCTGCTAAGGATGAGGTGGCAACTCATGAGGACAATGGAAAGAAACATTTGGAGGAAGAAGTTCCTGTGGAAATAGTTAATGTTGATGATCCTACACCGTCCTTTGCTGTTAAAGATCCTAATGATGGGGACACTCTGATGGGAACAGGGTCTGGTATCCTTACCTCTGTTCCTATCAAAGAATCCCTTCTCAAGGAACCACCAGACAAAGAGGGTAAGGACAAGGCCACTGCTCAGATTAGAAGCAGTGGAAGAACTGGAGGAAACCAATACCATGGCAACAACAGAGGGGGGGGGGCAACAGAAGCAGAGGGAAGGGCCCTGGCTCCAACCGTAGATGAAGGTACTTTGTTGGAATATTAGAGGCCTTAATGGAGCCTCTAAGCAACATTTTTTGTGTAAATATATGCATGATCTTGGGGTTTCTTTTTGCTGCATCCTTGAAACCAAGATGACTTTGGCCAAACTACAACTTTTTGCTAAAAATAAACTCCCTAATTGGACCTTTACTCAGAATTTTGATATTATTGAAGGGGGGAGAATGGCCATTTTCTGGAACCCTATTTTTGTTAGATGTAATGTGAAGAATATTACTGATCAGTTTATACATTGTGATGTTCAATGCCTAATTACACAAAAGTCTTTTGCTATTTCTTTTGTGTATGCTTTGTATAATGTGTCCATCAGGAGAAACCTTTGGGATAATCTGTCAAAGCATTCTGGAGATGGTCCCTGGGCCATTATGGGAGATTTTAACTGTGTGGCTAGCTCTGAAGAGAGACTCAACTGCCATACCCCCTCTGCTTATTCCATGATTGACTTAATGCAATTCAAAGTCAATAATGATCTCATTGATGCCAGAGCAACAGGGTTGAAGTTCACTTCGAACAAAGGGAAGAAATGGGCCAAATTGGACAGAATTCTAATTAATCATGAGTGGGAAACAATTGGTTGGGAATGCTGTGCTGAGTTCTGTGATATGGTGGTGGAATCTGATCACTGTCCTGTTCTGTTGGATCTTTTCCAGAAGGTCATAAAGGGGAACAAACCTTTCAAGTTTTTCAATATGTGGTTAAGTCATCATTCTTTTGACAATATTCTTGGTAACATTTGGAACAATAGAGTTGAAGGAACCAGGCAGTACAGACTTTGCAAAAAGCTCAAGTTGCTTAAACAACCCTTGAGACATCTTAACAACCTGGAATTTGGTCACATTTCACAAAGAGCTTCAGAAGCTAGAAAGGATTATAGCCATGTCATGAAGCAACTACTTCAAACTCTTAATGATGATATTCTCCTGGCTAGGAGTGAGATGCTTAGGAAGAAAGTAAGTTTTTTTAATGATGTAGAGAGATCTTTTTACCAGCAGAAGGTTAAAACTGATCTTATCATTGAGGGGGACAAATGCACTAAGTATTTTCATGCCATGATGAGGAAACAGCATGCTCTCAACTCCATTCCCTTCATTACTACTGAACAGGGAGGCATGACTACTTCTGTGGAGGAGATTTCAGAACAGTTCATTGGGTACTACAATAACCTGTTTGGCACCACAACACAGGTTATACCAATCAGGGGGGAGGTATTCCAAGAAGGGACTAGGGTTTCTCCAGAGCAGGGACAATGGTTGACCAGGAGGGTCTCTATGGCTGAGGTCAAAGAAGCCCTTTTTAGTATTGGGAATGATAAAGCACCTGGTCGTGATGGTTTTACTGCTGCCTTCTTCAAAAGTAAATGGAACATTGTGGGCCAAAGTCTTTGTGAAGCTGTGGAGGAGTTTTTCAGAAGTGGGAAGCTACTCAAGCAGATCAATCATGCAACTGTTTCTTTGATACCTAAGGTGAAAGAAAACCCTGGAGTGAAAGACTTCAGACCCATAGCTTGCTCAAATGTCACCTACAAGGTTATCACTAAAATCTTGTCCAACAGAATGAGCCATATACTGCCAGGAATTATTGATAGTGCTCAGGGAGCCTTTGTGGAAGGGAGGAACATGATGGATAATGTTTTGCTTGCTCAGCAGTTGGTTAGAAGGTATGCCAGGAAAAGAACTGCTCCTAAGTGTATGATGATGGTGGATCTCACTAAAGCCTATGACACAGTTTCTTGGGATTTTCTGGAGAGTGTTATGAGAGAGCTTGGTTTCCCAGTACAATTCCTCAAGTGGGTTATGGAATGTGTGTCTACTGCTACCTTTTCCTTAGCCATCAATGGAGGCCTTCATGGGTTTATTAAATGTAAGAGGGGTATTAGGCAGGGGGATCCTATGGCTCCCTCCCTTTTCCTCTTTTGCATTGAATATCTCTCTAGATTGCTTAAATAGATGGTTAAGGAGAGAAAGTTTAACCACCATTCCTTGTGTGCCACTTTGGGGATTACTCACACTGCTTTTGCAGATGACTTGATGCTGTTTTCCAGAGGAGATATTGAATCTGTTACTGTCCTGGCTGATGCCCTTAATCACTTCTCTCAAGCCTTTGGAGTGAGAGTTAATCCACAGAAATCTAGCATTTTCCTTGCTGGAGAGATTAAGGATAATAGACAGGACATCCTTAACTTGGTCCAATTTCCTCTGGGAAGTCTCCCTGTTAGATACCTTGGTTTGCCACTAACTTCCCAAAGAGCCTCTGAAAGGGAATTTGCACCTCTTATTGCTAAGATCCAGGACAATATTTGTAAGTGGAACACTAAAACTTTGTCACAGGTTGGGAGAGTGGAACTGATCAGAAGTGTAATTCAAGGGATCTAGTGTTTCTGGCTTCAGGCTTTCTCTATCCATAAGACTGTTCTCAATAGAATCACTAGTATATGCAGAAGCTTCTTGTGGGGTAGTAAGTTTTCTAAGGTTGCCTGGAGTGATATTTGCAAACCAATACAAGAAGGAGGGCTGGGGTTGAGGAACCCTTACACTTGGAATCAAGCTTTTCTTATAAAAAATCTTTGGAATATTGCCTGTGCTAAGGATACACTGTGGGTTAAATGGGTTCATGCAGTCTACCTTCAAAACAGGAAGGTGTGGACATGGACACCCAAGAAGGGGGATGCACACCTTTTCAGAAAAATGTCCATTGCTAGGGATCTGTTTGTGGATAAGCTTGGGGGTCCTGATGGGTTTCATGAGAGATTGCAGAGCATGTGTGAGAATGGCAGATTAAATACCACTACTGTTTATGATCTGCTTAGAACAAGGAACCAGCCAAAGCCTTGGATGAAATTCATTTGGCAGACTTATATTCCCCCTAGATTTTCTTTTACCACTTGGCTGACCCTTAGGAAAAGGCTCCCTACTAAGCTGAACCTCTCCCATGTGGAAATGGAAAGCAGGGAATGTAGCCTCTGTCACTTGGATGATGAAGACACAAAACATCTCTTCTTTGAATGCCATGTCTCTGCACAGATTTGGAATGGAGTGAAGGAGTGGCTCAACCTGGATGTTGCTCTCTCAACTTTAAACAGAGCTATCAAATGGCTTAGGAAGTATCACCATGCTCATTCAAACATCAAGAAAATGTGCAGATTGGCAACCTTTAGCACTGTTTATCATATCTGGAGACTTAGGAATGGGGCATACTTTGACCAGACTGCAGTTGATGTCCATTCTGCTATCCAGAAGATCAAGTTGAGTGTTTATAAGGTGATGTACAGGCTGTTTCCTAATGCCCCTTTAAGGCTGGGAATGGGTAATAGTTGAGGTTGGAATTCATTATCACTTTTGGGTTGGGTTGGGACCCTGATGGTTGTTTTCCATTGGGTTGGCAGGAAACTAGCCAAACTCTCCATACCCCTTTTGGATATTTAGAGGTTGGGTTGGGTCCTGGGTCTCTTTCCTCCTTCTTACTCCTTTTCTTTCCCCCCCTCTCCCTCCCTTCTTTCTGTCTTCTTCCTTTCTTTTTCCCTTCTTTTCTCTCCCTTTCTTTGCTGATTTCTGGGTGATAGACCATACTACCCTTGCCTACTCATCCTTGGAGTGGATATTGGCAGTTTTGATCTGGAGCCCCCCCTTGAGTGGACTTTGAATTTTGGATTGGAGTTTCTGATTGGCCTTTGGCCTGACCACTGGGTGGTTGGAGACATATCAACCTCTTTAGACCCCTTCTGGATTTCTAGAAGTTGGTATGGATCCCTTCCTTTCTTACCTTGTCCCCCCTCCCCCCCTTTCTTTCTTTCTTTCTCCTTCCTTTCTTGTTTCCCTTCTTTTCTCTCCCTTTCTTTGCTGATTTTTGGGTGATAGACCATACTACCCCTGCCTATTCATCCTTGGAGTGGCATTGGCAGTTTTGATCTGGAGCCCCCTGGAGTGGACTTTGATATTTGGTTTGGAGTTTTTGATTGGCCTTTGGCCTGACCACTGGGTGGTTGGAGACATATAAACCCTTGTAGATCCCTTCTGGATCTCTAGTGGTTGGTATGGATCCCTTTCCTTTCTTACCTTGTCCTCCCCTCCCTCCCTTCTTTTCTTCTTTTTCTCTTTCTCCTTTTCTTTCTTTCCTTCCTCCTCCCTCCTCTTGCTATCCTTCTGGGTGACAGGTCAGACTAAACTTACACTCTTCCTTTGAGTGGTTAAGTGTAGAATGGCTTGAAACCCTTGGCTCCTGGTGTTGGGTATCTGTTTCTGTTTGGGTTTGCGCAACATTGTTTGATTTGCCTATTGGCTGGATCTCTAGTTTTCTGGAAACACCTTAACCTCTGAACGCCCCCTTTGGAGGGGTAGAGCTTGGTCTGCCTCTCCTGTTCTGATCTTTGCCCTACTATTCCCTGAGCATTGTTGAACCCCCTTGTGTGTGCCTTGGACTGTTGTAGAACTTAACACCTACGCTCTCAGACGTGCTATTTTCAATACTCTGAAGATGAACCTCCGTGATGATTGTGATTGAACTGAGCTTCTGCTTATTGCTTTGGCTGATAGGCTCTTAGTGCTTCTGCTCCTGGATTTGGAATTTGGTGTGTCTTCATGCTTAACAATTTCTTGGCTGTACATGCTTGCCTTCCCTGCCTTGTACAAGTGATGACATCCTCTGTAAGAAATCTGATGATGGCTGTTGATTACTCCTTCGAACTCCCTGTGCAAACCAGAAATCTGATGATGGCTGTAGGTGACTCCTTGTGGACATAAACTTTATTGAAGATTTGTATTTTTGGCTTAGTGATTGTTGGCCTCCCTGTTTTGAAGGGATGGTTCATTGGCATTGTTTGCATTTTAGTTTCGTTGTAATGTGTTGTACATCTTTGTTTCTTTACGGTGTGATGTTTTTGCTTAGGTAACCTGTAACCTATGTGTGTAACCATGTTTGATGGTCAAGCATATAACTCTGTTGTATTCGTTTGATTTGGGTAATAATAACTTACATGTTACCCTTGAAAGTGCTCTCAATAATCTCAATACTTTGGCCGAGACTTCTCTCTGGCGACGTCGTGTAACGCCCCAAAAATAGGCCTATCAGAGTTAATTAATTAATAATTAATTAATTACTGAGAAGGACCCAAAAATAAGTAAAGTCTAAAGTTTGTCAATAAATAATGAAAATCATATCATTATGTAGAGTTTGACTGTCTGATCCCAACGGTTCAATCGGATTTCAATTTGGAGAAAGTTGGAACAAAAAGTGTACCCTAACTGGGACCAAAATTAGTCCCAATCAGGGACTACACACCAAACGGCGCCCTGTTCAATTACGCCGATTCCAAATCGTCGCTCAATCACGGAAGCTGTAAACCTGTGTCTTCTTCTTCTTCCCTGGGCTATTTAAGGACAACCCAACTCCCTCATTTCATCACCAAAACAATTCATTCTTCCTTCTATATTGTTCCTTGCTGAGAGTAGAGTGCAGTGGTGCTGTCATCTTTGTGTGAGGTCGCCGGAGCAGTGAGATAGAGTCGCCGGAAGGTTCGCCGGAAAATCTTAAAAACCTCCCCTACGCTTCAAGGTAAGCCCGTAGATATATCTAAAGATTAGAATGTTCATATAGGTTGTTTTTACGTTCATAAATGGTCATTTGGTTGAGTTTTGTGTTTGACATGTTTGAAGAACCAAGAATCATAAACCTTGAATTTGATGTTAAAAATATGTTTTAATAATTCTAAAATGATCTATGAACCTTGGAGAACATTTCTATATAGTTTAATTGAAGTTTGGTAACTAAAATTGATATGTCCGAAAATGGACCGAAGGTAGAAGACGATGAACAGTGATCGAAAATCGATTATTTTCTTCCTAAAAATCGATTAAAACTTGTTCAGATAACGTGTATCAAAAT